GGCCGGCGGACGCGCCCGCGCCCCGCGCGCTCCCCGCCGCCCCATGGAGGACGGGCTGCTGGAGATCAGGACCAAGGACGGCGGCGACATGCCCGCGCCCCTGGAGGTGTCCGCCGTGCCGGCCGTGGGCGACGTGATCTCGGGGGAGTACAACGGCGGCATGAAGGAGCTGATGGAGCACCTGAAGGCCCAGCTGCAGGCCCTGTTCGAGGACGTGCGGGCCATGCGGGGGGCCCTGGACGAGCAGGCCTCGCACATCCAGGTGCTCTCGGACGACGTGTGCGCCAACCAGCGGGCCATCGTCTCCATGTGCCAGATCATGACCACGGCGCCCCGCCAGGGCGGCCTGGGCGTGGTCGGCGGCAAGGGGAGCTTCCCCGGGGCCCCCCCAAAGCCGGAGCCCGCTTCGCCTGGAGTCGAGGACGGCGGCTTGCCGGCTCGCGATCTTGAGGACGGGGACGACGACGAAGAGGAAAAAGAGATGCCCAGCCCTGCCACACCCACCGGTCGCTGTGAGCGCTCCAAGAGCCCCCGTGCCGGTCTCCTTGGGGGGGACGGGCCACTTGTGGAGCCCCTCGACCTGCCTGACATTACCCTGCTGCAGCTGGAGGGCGAGGCTTCCCTGTGAGGGCGCTGCGGGGGCACTAACTTCCCGGGCTGGGCTGGGGCTTGTGAGCGCATGACGCGAGGGGACTGACCGGCGCGGTGCAGCACGCTTCGCTCGGACAGCTGCCCCCGTGTGTCGGGGTGGGGACTCCCGACAGGCAGCGTCTGCAGGGCGAGGACTTCGGGAGCATCAAGCATTCTGTTTGCCCAGCCAAGCGTGATAGCAAACTGGAGACAGGTGAAGTTCCGGGAGAGCAAGTGCCCATCTCCGGACTCCCTTCCACCCCCCCACCCCCATGCCCTTTCCCTCTCCCCAGGCAACAGGAGAACCCCTGAATTATGTAAATAAAATCTGCTTTTTCTATTCTGAAAAAGGACTTATCTAGGACTATGGCAAATAATCTCTAATGATTTACCTAAAAATTACGGAATTGAGGGTATTCTGTTCTGGCAACAGGAAATTTACCCTTCTGCTGAAATCCAAGATACTCAGCACTCTGCAGAAGCCTCTCCCCCTCACAGGTCTCTGCGGCTGCTGATTGGTAAAGGAAACTTAAGGAGGCAGCTGCGGCCACAGGAATCGGGGTGCACGGGGTTCTGAGGGTCCCGGGGCTGGGAGGAGCTGGCTGCGAACGCGCATGAAGACAAAGTAGCGCATCCTCTAGGATTCTGCATGCAGAGCGGATCCCGCCGTGTCACTGACTTCATCTGGGATTGCTTTTCCACTCACGGGGGCTTAGAGAACAAAGACAGAGTCCAGTCCACAGGCACAGACTCGGGGTGCTCAGCAGCGGCCCGGATTTAGGGGACATTTGAGGGACTCTTGGGGGCTTCAGCCAAAACCTGTCTCTCCTGACTACACCTGCTTACCTTCAGTTCCTTTGTCTGTCCCTGCCCGCTGCCTCTCGGTGTGGCCTCCCTAATGTCTTGTGTGTGCTACGTGTGTCCAGTCGTGCAGTAGTGTGTGAGCCCTGAGGGGCAGGGCTTGTGGCTCTGGTGTTAGGTTCAGGGGGCTTCAGACTCTTCTGAGAACCCCGAGCTATAATGGCGCTTTCCTCTCTCCTCTCCCCTTTCCTCCCTCCCAGCCAGGGCATGGAGCATGTGGCTGTCCTGAGGTTCCTAACTGACGCGCCTCCCTCCTACCTTCTGAAGTGGTGACTTCGTGTGCCCGTCCCCCTCTTTTGTGTATTCCTTCTCAATGCTTTTCTTGGTATTAACCTTAATAAAAAGGCATCATCTCCCCTCCTTGCTGACTGGTACTAAGGGGATGTCAGGGGGGCTTTTGGGCCCATTGCACGGGCCAGGTTTTAGTGCGGACTGTGCCTTCCTTCCTGCCTGCTTGCCTCCAGTTCCAAGGAGTTGACTGTCCCCGCCCTGGCCAGGACAGACACTGCAGGCTCCGCCTGCTTTCTCTTCTGCCCTGGACCTCGATCTCAAGCTGGATGGCGGAAGGAGAGGGTATGTGTTGAGATTCCCGGGCTAACAATAGCCGGCACTCCACATATGCAAGAGATTTCTTTTCAGTGAAGCATCTGCTCCCTGGGAGGTGATTTCTGAATCCAAGTCCTGGGGTGGCAGGCAGGACACCTGTTCACGGAAGGGGTGAGTAAGGGGTATTGTTCGGGAGGGATTGCCCGGGATTTCTGGGAGTGACACATCAGAAAGGGAACCACAGTAACTGCCTAAGGCCTCTAGTGGAGGATGCCGGTAAGGTGTTCCCCAGAGAGCAGAGCCTGACATCAGCTCCAGGCTGCTCCCTTGGGCAAGGGAGATTTCCTGAGCTTTTCCCCGAGCAAAATTTAAGAGCACAACAAGCTAGGATGGTGTGTGCGCGTGCGTGTGTGCGTGTGTGCGTGTGTGTGTGTGTGTGTGTGTGTGTGTGTATGTGTGTGTGCATGTGTGCGTGTGTGTTTGCTGCTGTTTGTTGCAGAGAGAAACAGCACTGGAGGCACAGATCTGGGTTTGAATTTCAGTTCCAACACTTAATTGACTGATGAATAAAATAGGGTTAAAGTTTTTGTGGAGAAAAATATGTAAGACCCCCTGGGAAGATTGTTCAAATATTAGTGGGCTGGGATGGGGTGGTTGGTGACCGGCTCCTCTGGGAAAACAAAACCAAACCTTCTGAGAAAGTTCTAGAAACTCCCTTTTAATATACTCTTTTCCTATCTGAAGAGCCCTTATCTTTAAGGATAAGGAAAGGGCAATGGTGAGATTTCCAAACTTAGCACACGTCTTTTTGTCTTAAATGTCATATAGCTGATGGGCCGAAAGGTCTTGAGGACCAGCCCTATATGGATAGGATGGCCAGGAAAGCTCTGAGCTACACGGTGGTCAGCAGTGTGTTCTGGGACCTGAGGGAGGACAGCCAGAGTACAGAATCTGAGGGCTGGAGATGGAAGGTTCCGGTTCCAGCACTCAGCGTGAACAGGAACCGTGCTAGCGGTCACTTATGATTGAGTATTTGCTATGTGCTCGACTTTATCTGTAAGCACTATTATTACTTTCATACAACAGTTCAGAAATCGACCCAAGGCTTGCTCAAGGTCGCGGACTGGTACTTGGCAAAGCCAGGACTTGGACCTGGGCCTGCGTGATTTAGAGAGCTCTCGATATGAAACACTCTGCTAATTGTTCCATTTGGATCTTCAGAGGAGATCTCAGTTTCTGCAATCCAGAGCCTAAAATAACCCTGTAAAAAAAGAAATAATCTCAATTTACTTTTTGTCTTCTTGGTTTGGGCAAAAAGTTGCAGTTCAGATTTTGGTTAGTGACCTTTCCCAGAGTCCAGTGGGTAACAACACACTAGTAACACCAAGGAGGTGGCGGCCCCGACCTGTTCCATGGGAGAAGGAACCTGCTGCTTCCCGACACAGCTCTGGGCTCTTTGTCCTCCCCTGCCCCGCCCCCATAGCTCAGATTATTATCTGATCTGAATCTCAAGGGCAGCTCAGCCCTTTATAGAGTTCTAGTTGAGTCCTGTAACCCTTGATCCACTTCAGCTCCTCTTTCTACATCCACTGTTCTAAATGTGCCCTAGTTCCTCAATGCAAGGCCTCTTAGAGGTTCTCTGACTGTCTCCCCAAGTCCAGAGAGAAAAGTCTCCCAGGAAAGAGCAACTCATTACCTTCTTCAGCCTCCAGCCCCGTCCCTCACAGGGGCCCAGCCCAGCTTCCTCTGGACATCTGTCCTCCCTTGGCCTTAGCAGCCTGTGTTTCCCGTTTGGAATGCTCCTGACAAGGGAGTTGCAGCTGGGATTTCTAACCAGACACTCAAGGGCAGAGGTCACTACCGAAATTCAGGGGGCTACAGCCCTTTGAAATTGAATGCAAACTTGTACAAGTATATAAACTTTCTAGAGAGAAAGTCCATTGTTTCTACTTCCTTACCATGTAAGAGTTAAGTAAAGAAGTAAGGACCACTGAGCTCAAGGGCAATGCAACTTTTTAATTTGAAAAATACCAAAGAAGAAATGACCTGGCTTGACCCTGACGCTTCTAGTATCCTTATCTCCAAAAGCCTCCACAGTATTTTCTACACTGAATTCAAATTTACACATAAATCTGATTTCAAAATATTCACATTCTGTTGACCTACATGGTGTGCTAAAAACCCTGCCTCCCGCTGATCCCAAGCCTGCTGCTTCTCAAGGCTTGCCAGACCCCTGCTGATGTGTGAGAGGCAGGGAGGAGACCCCGTCCATATTGCTGCTCTGTGCTTCTGCCCCAGGCAGGGCTACTTGTATTCCGGCAACCCCCGCCCCCGACTCCCTGATCCCCTTAGGGCGTCTCTCAGGGTTTACCAGTTCATCTCAAAGCGAAAACACACCCGACTGCATAGAAATTAGATACAACTTTTGCCTGGCACAACCAAAATCAGTTCTTAGAGAATTCGTTATTTTCCTAAGATGCACACTGGCCTCCAACACAAACGTGCAGTTTTGTATGATCTTGGTACCACTATACATTACGGTCTGTCCTTGATTAGCGTATTGAAATGGGTCACTTAAAAGTTTTCCCAGAACAAAGCAGCAGTTCTTTCCCAAATGTATTTGTACCTATACTTCTTGAAAGTCATACAATTGTTTGCTTTGAAAAGGCAAGTTTTCATATTTACATGCTAAGACATAGACATTCAGGCAGGGTATTATTAAATGATAGGAAATGGTAAGACGTGACAGAAACTCCAAAGAAGTGTTCTTCAGTGCTTTATTCCAGCAACTCTTGCTTTCTCACTTCTACATTGTCCCCAGAGGATGAGTTCCCTCAGACAAACAGCTTTTCTGCTTGCAAGTGCTGTGCTTACGGACAGACTCCTGCTCTGTGACTAACGCGGTGATGGTGCCACCTGTCGAAGAGTAGAGACACTGCAAGGGGAGCTTCGCAGGGAATTTATGACTTTCACGGCCGCCAGCACTATCAAATGCCTACTAAAGAAAGAGGCCCGGCTCTCTGCCAAGCGGTGGGTGGTGAGGAGAGCTGGAGAAGCTGAATAAATAGAATGTATTTGAAGAATATAAAAAGCAATTGCAATAAACTCCTGAGTTCTCCCAGCCTTTTGCACACACCTCTAATCCAAAGATTAATCTTTCTAAGCCAGAGCTGTGCACAGACATTTCTCTCGGCAACCTGCAGCATGTTTCCCTGCGCCCTGAATCAAGTACAAAATCTGGCGCACGTGGGGAGGGTGCGAGATCAAGGTCATCTCCAGTAAGCCCTGGCTTCCTTTTGTCCCTGTATATTTTATGCCCCATCTAATTTTCTAGATGTCATCCCACCATGTCAGAAGCCCATGTGATCCATGCAGATCCAGCAATGATTGTGAAGGGTGCACCAGAGCCCTTAAGCCCGGGTGAGCAGTCTGAACGAGTCCTCCTGACCATGGGTCCCATTTCTCCTAGTCGTTCTTCCTACGTGCAGTCTGGAGTAAGTCTCTCCTTTAGAAAAGGGACTTCTGCAGCCTTGATCACGCTCCCAACCTCTCGTGCAGCATCTAGAAAGGCTACTTGTTCCCCCACTCTCCTGGGATCTTTCCCCCCTCTCCTGCTACCCGTGAACAGCAGTGCGCAAAGCTTATTATGAATTCCATTTTTATTTCTAGGAACAGTGTTCACAATTTTCATCAAATTCTCTCTTCTTTTTCTTGGAGACAGAGTCTTGCTGTGTGGTTCATGTGGGCCTTGAACTCACTGTGTAGCCCAGGCTGGCCTTGAACTCTTGGTGATTTTCCTGCCTCAGCCTCCCTCCCTCCAAGGATGCTAGGATTACAGGGTGCACCACCACCAAGCCCAGCTTCTTCAAATTCTCGAAGGGGTCTGTAAAGCCAAAGGGGTAGCAAAGCCTGTAGGCAAAATATGCTACTTGTTTCCCCAAGATGTCCCTCATCTTCTGTGTTTGGCTCTTTGGTCATTCTCTTTCCTGTTCTATTCATCCTGTCTCTGCTGTCCCTTGGAATCTCACCCGTTCTTGGGCTTTTCAGTGCTTTTCCTTCCTAAGCCTTTCCACGTGGATTTTCTTCTTCCACTCGCTGTCCAAAACTTTTAATGTGTAACTATTTTGGGGACAGTAACTCTGCCTTACTTCTACTATTCTTTACGTGCGTTTGTTGCTCCTTTTTTCCAAATGAGTGTCTTGACAGCTGGGACAGATTTATCCGTTTATAGTTTGTGAAATGTCTCCCTTATTTTGCTGACATTAAAGCACCATAGATTGTACGGCGTATCACTATTTTAGGTACCACTAAGAAAGGAAAAACTGCCAATTAAATGAATCGCTATAATTTCTTATCACAATTTTAAAGTTTCATTCTTATTTACAGAGCTCTTTTAGACATTTTTAGAAATAGATCTTTTAGTATCACTACTGTGCACACAGATGTAACGGAAAGTCACTGAAGTATTATTATAACTTCTTCACGTTGACTCTGACCCTTCAGAATCACTTACTGACTTTGGTGGCATCTGTACTTTTCCATGCATTTCTGTGCTCTGGGTCATGTTGACTATTTGTGGAGCAACATTTCTTACAAAGAGAAACCTAAATTCTCCACTACGTCTCTGGGAATTTCCTCCAGGATACAATATCTGCACTGCAGGTTTTAACACTGGCATTTTTTTCTTTTTGATCATGCCAGAAACTGTCCAAGAGAGCTGTTCAGACAGTAACCGGAACTGCTACTCCTTTAAAAGGGTCCTTAAGATGGGTGATGACCGGAAACACTGGGGAAGGTCGATTTTTAGTCAGGCC